GTCCCTGACGGCCCCTCATATAACTGAACAGTTTTTACACACCATGTAGTGTGCGCGCGCACGCACACACACACACACACACACACAAGCTACGTTGCTAGGCGACACAGTGCTTGCTGATGTTCTTCTCTGGTCAGTGAGTGTTGTATTCACCTGTCTGAAAGTCATTCTGTGAGTCCTGCACCTGAAGTCCTCCACAGTCACTCGCTTATTCTATAAAGAATAATATAACCAGTCCCACTATAATCAGTCCACTCAGCCTCTCTGGCCCACTCTGCTCCTTTCTTAAGACTCTGTAGTCAGACTTTTATTTTTAACAGATCAGACTCAAAATGTAGCAAAGTAGCCCCAACTGCAGTATGTATAGAAGCATGTCCGCGGTCTGCCATCCGTGTCCATCCTGGAGTTCTATCATGGCTTGGTGGTGTGTTCCTTTAAAACCAGACACTGGCTCTATATAGAAACTTAGAGATCATAGTTTCTCCTATACACAATTGGAACGGAAGGGTGAGGCAAGGGGTTGCAGTCAGCAGCTACTCTATAAGACATAAACTATACGACGTGTACAGCATCTTAGTTTAGCATGTCAGTATGTTAATATCTGTTAGAAAGCGCACCTAAATTAGTAATATTTTAGACATACAGACATAACATACATACATACGTCATTTTATATAAATCATAAGGATGTGGCAGGAGTGTAAGTTTTTAAATTTTATTTTATTTCACATCTGTCAGTGCTTTGTCAGTTACCAGCCCCTCAGAAAAGACCACAGTGGGTTGTTTCTCCTCTCTTTAGCTCTTAGCACTCTGCCTGAATTCTTTTTTGAATGTCTCGGGGGCAAATCTCCCTCTGTTCTTGTCTACTTGTGTCTTTCCATTGACTTTGCCTCGATAATCCATTTTGCAGCCAGTCTGATCACACCTTTAGACTCTGACTGACACCTGACATTTGTCTCTTGTCAAACTCCATTAGCTGCTGGCAGTATCCGGACATACGCACTAAGAAATCAAGGTACAGGAATGGACCTAAAAGGGTGTTTTGTCTTTGCCAATGTACCTTTATGTCCTGGTACACAAATTTACCCATTGGAGAGGTACAGATAGTTCTTTGCTCATGACATTTTTGTTCAAGAATTGAATGGGAATTTACTCACTTTATGTATTTATATTTTTATTCTATTTGATTTTGTACCTTTAAAATTACACAAAGGTCTATAGTTATCACCTTAAAGACCTTTCTCGTACTCGACAGGGTACTTCTGACAAATGTACCTTTGGGTACAGAAATTATACCCCTATTTCTCTGTGTGTAGCATGGCATCAATGCTTAGTGCAGTGTTTTATTTATTTATTTATTTTTTTTACTTTTCCTTTCCCTTTTCTTCTTTAATGATGAATGCTAAGAGGTAAGATTATATTGGCCAAAACAGTTATGATATTATAAGAAAGTATACATAGATATAGAAGATATGGAAAACAAACAGCTGCTGACATATTTAAGCCAAGTCTGCAATCAATACAGTACAATCAGTCCCACAGTTGTATGTTCTATGTGATGGCTATTTCTGTTTGCAGCCACTATTTGTAATCAGGAACTGTAGTTCATTATCCAGCTTCACATTCATCCCTGTCACCAGATTGGGAGCCAGCCAGGATGTATTCCTTTCTATTATGCTGTATTAGTGTTGAGTGCTGTGTTTTACAGTCATTTCCCTCTGTATGAATCATGCTCATCCGGGGCGAAATGCTGTGGGGCAGCCATCTTCAGCAAGCCCCCCCCAACAATTCTCTCAAGACCTCTTCAATTATGAATTACATAGCCGGGGGAAAAACTACATGGCGGGAAACTCTCAAAGGGAGCAGGTATTAAAAATGGTTAGGTGTGAATGTGTGTGTTTGGGTCCTTTGGGTGTGTGTTCGTAGAGCAGTAACCATGGGTCCTATCTAATACATCTCAACCAGCATGTAAGCATGGGGTCATAGTAAATCTGTACTATATATACTATATATATATTATATACTATAATACTGTATCTTAGGACTACTAGGGCCTGAATATTTTGAATGACATGCATATTTTTACAGATCAACATCTGACCTATTATATAAGGATGTTTTTTGGCATCACATGTGTCTATCATTAGTCTCTGAGAAGCTGAAACATGAGTTTTTCTTTCAATGCTAAAACCAGCACCCGTCCGCACTATACGCTGAGATTTAAATTTTTTTATGAGTTGTGTTGACATAAATTATGTGGAAAAAGTAATTGGAATAAGTACATTTTTATGTGTCAACTTTAAAACTTGTGTTTCGCTATCAATTATTAAGTAAGTGGCAATTAAAAATACTGTTTGTAGAGGAAACGCTAATTCCCCTAACTCAATGTAGAACATTTGTTGAACATCATTTCATTAGAAGTTGCCATAACTCAATTGAGTTGTTTTATGTTGAGCCAAAACATTTGTTTTGAGAGTGTGGAATCTCTGACTGCAGCGTACATGTGTCCACATAGAGTATCAGTGTAGAGGGAGAGAGATTGATTATATTTCACCAGCAGAGTTATCACGAGGATAAAACGGTCATCTCATTTAAAGGCAGCAGTATTACAGAATTGCCCCTTACATTATGCATGAATGAAGAGATCAAACATTTCACCTTGCATGCTGCATTCTGTTAACAGTGTTAAGTTCTTTAAAGGGGAACTTGGCAACTTTTTCAGCTTAATAAACCCGTTTAGAAATCATTTGGATGGTTAAATGGCCGGTTCCGGTGAAAATGGTGACCCCTCCCAGGCGACCCCAGCCGGAAAAACCAACCTTATGCCAGACCTTTGGGACGACGTCCCCGGAAATGGAAATAGGAATATTGCGAGAAGCGAGAACGAAGCGCAGAAAGACCCCGAACGCTTTTACGGCAATTCACCAATAAACCACGACACGCCGCCCTCGAATAGAAACGGTTAGTATTAAATGTAGTGAGCACCCACCCATCAGTAGAATATTCTCCAAAGCAACCGAAAAAGTTGCCCGGAGAACAAAAGGCACATCAGCAGCGGTAGAAAGGGGGAGGAGGGTGCCGCAAGTGAGTTGTTTTTACGATGTGTTGTGAAATACACGTCCCAGAGCTGTAGGGGGAGCTCGTTGAGAAAACATGCGATGACAAAAATGAAAACCAGCGAAGAAATGCCTAGAGTTGCCAAGTTCCCCTTTAATTTATCAAACAGTGAGTTGAAGCAAAATTAAAATGAAACATGAAAAACTAAAAGGAATTTATTAAACTAGATTATTTACCTGCAGTTTTCCTCTCCTGGATGTCCTGTTGTCATTTACTGTCTGCTACTAACTGTGTGTGTTTCTAACCAGAAAAAGCTCAGGCCAATGAGCAGCGCTACACCAAACTGAAGGAGAAGTACACAGAGCTTGTTCAAAGTCACGCAGACCTGCTGAGGAAGGTGTGAGAGAAAAAATATCATACTTCTTCTTCATGTTCATCAAATCCTTGTCTACGTCTTTGTCCCCTCCTAAAATACCTTCCCTTCTGTCCTCCTGCTGTCCTTTTATATTCCCCCCTACGGCTGAAGCTCCAGCCTCTGTCCTAATTATTTTGGTGTGTTTCCCTGCGTGTCTGCATCTGTGTCCCATGACCTTTTGTGTGTGTGTGTGTGTGTGTGTGTGTATGTGTTTGTGTGTGTGTAGAACGCAGAGGTGACCAGGCAGATGACGGTGGCTCGGGCAGCACAAGATGAAGTGGATGCAGTAAGGAGAGAGATGCAAGAGAAGGTGAAGGCCGCTCAGGAGGCTGCAGACAGACAAGTGAGTGTGAGATAAGTTTTATTGTCACGGCTAAACACACACACAAATCAACACACACACACACACACACACACAGCAGGTAAGGAAAATGTTACTTGGACCTCACTACTGTCATTTGGCTACAAAATGATCCAAACAAAGCAAACTGATTTTCAAAATTATATTTTTTGTTTGGTGTGGAAGTTATAGCTGATGCGAGTTGCTGCCTAAAGAGAGATTTTGACTCTTTTTTTTTTTTCCAGGAGAGGGAACAGCTGGATCAGCTTCAGGAACTCCAGAGAGAGCTGGTGTCCAGCAGGGTGGAGCTGGACTCCCTGAAGACCACCATGGCTTCGTCACAACAGGTCACTCTCCTCTCTCTCGACACCCCTCACACAATAAGATTAGCGTAAATCTGCTAACAAGGTCCCAATTTAAAAAGGATAACAGCATCTGCTACATAAAAGTGTGAAAAGATTAAGACAAAGACAAAAGACATTTTTCACCCTGACTAACAGACCTGTGTGATCGTAATGGAGTACAGTCTGGATAAAATCTAATAATGGGCTGCTGGCGTCACACACTCTTATTTTAGTCATCATCAATTATTTGATGATTTCACTTACACCTGACTTTTGTAGCGTTAGTTCCCGAATCTGAGTTTGGGAAAAGTCAACAATACGGTTCAGCTGTTCATGGGACCTGCTTTCAGACACATTCCAGTCTTAATATACTGGTCTTGTTTTTTTTCTTAACCAAGAATGATTAGTATGTAACGGTCTGTATCCTGGATCAGACTGTTCAGATTGTGAAAGCTAAATCTAGACGACAGTAGATCCTGATTATGATAAATGCGTCCCTGTTTTGTCCCTGAGTCCAAGTCTTTCATCTATAAAGAGGACTGTCAATTCCCTCCATTTGAGCTTTTTGTCTTTTGTTATGTTGTCTTCCCTCTTAGTCACCGACTGTTCCTCCTACAGCAGAATCTCAAACACATCCAGTCTCTGACAGGATTCATATGCTAATACTTTTCTTTGAAATTTAGAGAATTGGTGTTCTGTGTGTGTGTGTGTGTTTACTCTTCCTCTTAAAAGCCAAGTTGACGTTTGTAACAGGCCGCTGAAGGCATTTATTTAAAAGACGAGACCAGAATAAAAACACAGAAGCAGTAAAATCTGGTCCAAACAGCTGCTTGTGTAAATGCAGCCGCTTGGCTACTTGCTTCAATGTAGTCCTTGAGCAGTGAGCAAAAATGGATCTGCAGAAATATTTTAATGGTAACAAAAACAGGAATGTCGGAAAATAAGATCAGTAAGCCGTGAATTCATGGTCTTAACCCTTCCAACCCCACTTATTGCTTGTGACTCTCTCCGACCCCGATTTCAGATGTTTTTCTCTACATGCAGTGTTCCCCGTACCTCTCATCCGTCTCTGCCTCCCACTCCTTCCATCCCATTCTGGTAGCCGCTACTTATCAACTCCGTCACTTTCTGTCCTCCTCCTCCATCTCTCCGTACTCCTTTTCACACACACAGCCCACGTTTTGTCACACTTGTCACATGCCAGCTCTCTCTAGCTCCTGCTGTGCAATTTCTATCCATATTCTTAACAATTCTGTTTCTCCTTCATCTCTCAACGTTTCTCCTTCTCTGTCGGACCTGCTGGTGACCCAGGCTGTAAGTCTCTCTTTCTTACCTGCAGAACACCATGCACATTTCTTAACTCCTACCTACAAACATTTGGATAGTTAATCTGTTGCCATAATTCACGATTGTTGTATTGTAGCCAAGTTGCACAACCACAACTTCCCAGTGTTTGTTTGATTGTAAGCTTGACCTCAACCCAAACCTCTCCAGAGACTGTACGCCTCTCCACAAACTTAAACGGAGACAATACTGTTATAATCAGCAGCTGAAGGTAAAGTGTTTTTTTTATTGTGAGGTCAGCACAGCATCATACCACATCCTGACATGTCATTAAAAGCTGTCTATTGTCCCGGCCACATCCTCCTGCGCGCTTATTGTGCCTCGAAATCATTTTCTCTTTTTCTTTTTATTATTCCTCCATCTTTTATTTTCTCCCTGCAGTCCAGTGAGGTGCTCAGCACGCAGCTGGTCGCCCTGGAGTCTGAGAAGGCGGAGCTGGTGCAGTCCTTGTCGAAGGTGGAGGCGGAGCTGGCTGTTCGGGGGGAGGAGCTAGAGCAAGTCCAGACGTCACTGGCAACTGAGAGGGAGAGTGGGGTGAAGACAGCAGAAGCCCTGCAGAATCAGCTCAATGAGAAGGTGAAGAATTGTCAATTTCTCAATTATGTTGTAATAAATCAAGCAAATGATTCAGGGCACCAGTATGACCAATGAGCATCTTTTTTCACATTTGAATTTCTAATAAAGGTCGGTTAAAGTAAAAGTTAGCTTAAGTTCAGAGTTCAAATATGTCTGTGTATTATCTGCGTCCACAGGAGAGTAGGGAGCAGGCGTTGGAGAGCCAGCTGGAAGCAGCTCGATGGTCCAGTCTGCAGGGAGCTGTGGAGGAGGCGGAGAAGATCATCCAGGACTCTCTGGCTCAGATAGACGACCCAGCACACATCAGCTGCACCAGCTCCGCGGGTCAGAAACTAATGTTTTAATTCTATAACACAGCACAAAAATAATTCAGTGTTGGGATGCTAATTAGCACTGTTTGTAGTAAAGATCGCGTGCATGCTTTTTTCTCTGCAGACTACCTAGCATCCAGATGTCAGGCCTCTTTAGACTGTATGGACCGACTCAACTCTACCAGAGAAACCTTCCTGGCCGACAACACAGGTGAGAGGATTCAGTCTAACTTTGTAAAGGATTCATTATATGGGATAAAGTTATGTAATAAGCTAGTACATAATACATGGTGGTGCCTTTGATCCATTCTTTCGCTGCTCAACATTTTCATGAATGAATGTACAGTAGGCGTGTAGGAGCTTTAAAGCATGAATCATAAAAACTGGACACGAACTGGAGAGAGAAAGTAGAGCCAGTGTCTGTACTAGGGTGTTGTGAGATTTGGAAAAACAATTTAATTCTAATTTCAGTCATTTCAATGGTAATTTTTACTGTAAAATCAGTTTGACCACAGGTAGCTCTGTATTTTAGGGTAATGTGTTTGGCCTACTACAGCTAATGTACCACTGGAATGCTAAAGCAGTTGTTGTAATATTATCAGGCTATTTCTGAATATACGCACAATGTGTATTTGTTTTGTTATGTTGTTGTTATTTGTCATTCCAACCATATTCATATAAAAATATAAGTTAAAAAGCTGAGTTCAAACATCCCAGTAGTAATGGAAGGTGACCAAAAAGTTTATATGTATATGTATCTGATCTGCAAACTCCTAAAGATTTATTTGTCTGTGTAGGTGTATCTGAGCTGGTGCGAGTGGTCACCCAGTGCGGCCACCTGGTGGGGGACACTATCGTTCAGGGTAGTGCCACCTCCCACATGGTGCCTGTAGAGCAAGCTGATGGTAAGTTTGCATCTGTGTGTGTGTGTGTGTGTGTGTGTGTGTGTGTGAGAGAGACAGTAAGATGAGCAGATTGTAGTCTCCTCTCCTCTCCTGATATTAATCTGTGGGCGAGTCAGTCAACCCAGACACGTTCTGACATGTCATTAAGTCGTTCATACCTCTTCATGGGTTACATGTGTACAGTAAGGTTGCGCAGTGTAAGTTAAAGCTATTGTCTAATTTGCCGGGATATACATTGTACGCCGTGTCGGTTTGTCTGAACGTCCTGCTCCCATTCATATTGTGATCTTTAAAAAGTTGTGTCTTCAGTGCAAAATTTCAGCTAAAACATGCGAAGATAGAACAAAGTTGCTGGCTTCATTCAGGAGTAATGTTTGCAGGGATCCTCTGGGGATATAAGCAGCCTGAGCAAGTCTGTACATGCCCAAATATAATGGAACCCTGGCCAGCAATCTTATTACTGCAACAAAAAACTAATTGAAACTGGGTTGAACTGAAGCTGCATCTCTGGCTCTGGTCATCGACTGAGAGCGAGTCAACCCTGTGTTTGTCAGTAGTTTACAGAAACATTTGAATGCAGCATGTGAAAGTACAGTTTGATGCAAATCGTCTGGCTGTCCATCATCTAAAAAAAAAAAAAACAGCCTGGCAGCTGCTGTCGAGGTAGTTTTGATTTCCCTCCTCCTTCCATCAGAGTGGCTGTTTCAGCTGTTAGTTGACACTTTGCCTGAAGGGATGTCATTATAATTACCACTGCAGCTGCAGCCACTAGTGGCACTGCTACACATCAGAGTTTACAGAAAACATTATATGGTATTTTATTAGAAATTTTAATGTAAATGATTTTAAAGTGCACCTACACATTATATCTACAAGGAAATCTGACTTTTTGGTGGTTTTCTTTCAGTGTATATTTGTGTATTTTAAGACAGTTATTCGGAGCGATAACACGTGCATCCAACATCCCTGTCCTTGTCCCTGTCTCTGTCCCTGTCAGCCCTGTCAGAGAGTGTGAAGTCGTGCGGGGCCGAAGCTCTGGCTGTGCTGGGCCAGATGAAGCAGCAGGACAGCCTGGCTGCAGCAGACAACAGCAAGCTGAAGGCAGCTCTGGAGGCCATCCTGGCCACTGCAGAGGTGTTTACCTAATACATACTTACTAATGTTTGTATTCTGATGCATAAAATGGGTCAAAGCGCCCCCGGGAGTTGCTGTATGATGACAACAGGAATGAGTTTAATTTAATCTAGACCGTTATAACAGATTAAATTGTTTAAATGTGTGTTGAAGAACTTTTTCTTAAGTCTCTCTTTTTGTTCAGAAACTGCGTCCTCGGGGTTTGGAGCTCCAGCAGGGGGAACTGGGAGATCTCGTGGAGCAGGAAATGGCTGCCACTTCCGCTGCTGTGGAATCGGCAGCTGCCAGGATAGAGGTGTGTGTGTGTGTG